TGACTGGGACAACGCCTAAGCTAAGCAGCAACAACAACAACAACCGTAATAAACAGCAGAGAAAAAATCACCCGAATTAAGCCAACGACTTTCGCCTGGGCAACCGCAGAAATTGTTCAAGCAATTTGTATAAACTGAAATAAAAAATTATACAAAAATAATAAAAAAACAACAATTTCAATAAAAAACTGAATATTGGCAATAAATCTGTAAAGAAATGGAAACTGGTTGGGATAGAAAGCACACTCACACTCGACTCGGAAGCCAAGCAAAAATATGTTTGACCACAAGATAAAAAAAACAAGTAAGAAAGCTCTAGTCGAGACTGCTCGACTACGAGATCCCCTGAACCCTTGGAGCAATAGATATTTCAATACTTTTTCGCGACTTTCAGCTTACACAAGAAACACGCACACACACACACACACACGCACGTACGCACACACAGGTATACATACACACACGCATACAGACACACATACACACACACACGCATACAGACACAAACGCATACACACACACACATACACACACACATACACACACAAGCACCCACGCATAAACACGCATGGGCTGCAGTGTGCGCTTACTATGAGAACTTAATTGTTTTTTATGGACGTACGATCTTCATGAAACTTTTAGATTATGATTATAACATGAATATGCATGTAATTGCCAAAGCACAAGTCTCTAGTATTTGAAATACGCTTTTTACAAAAGTGAGGGTGAGGGGGTGAATTTAGAGGTGGGGGGTAAATTTTAACAAAAACCGAAATTGTATAAATTGCATATAAGCATACATTAAAAATTTGGAGACTCTAGCAATAAAGGTGTAGAAGATATAATTTTATAACTGGGTTTCGATAAGGTTTTTTATCGATAAAAAAAGATCGAGATGAGTTATCGATTTTTAATGATAAACTTGATATGCGCGCTGTAATTACGGACATTTAAAAAAAAATTTGAAGTCTCTAGCTCTTATATCTTCTGAAATCGACGCGTTCATACATACGGACAGACGGACAGACGGACAGACGGACAGACAGACGGACAGGGCCAAATCAACTCAGCTCGTCACCCTGATCAAGAATATATATACTTTGTGGGGTCTGCCACGCCTCCTTCTCCCTGTTACATACATTTCAACAAAACCATTATACCCTGATTTCCCATTGAAAATGGGTTCAGGGTATAAAAAAAAATATTTATAAAAAGCTGTAGAAGAAGAAGAAAACTGACTCCCAAACAGGTTAATCTTAATGTGCTGTAAAGCCCATAAACAAACATCGATCTGGTTGGAATGTGCGTCGCTCGTATCACGTTTTTCGTTGTTGTTGTTGCCCGATCAACTATTGCGTGAATGGAGACAACTTCCGACATTGCCTGACATGCAAATCAGTTGACCATATAATCCTTTGGCTGAAAAGTGGCAGTTAACAATGTAGTTATCAAAATTACAAAAACAAACAAGTCTTATTAATGGTTTTAAGTAAGAAAAAAAAAAAATAAATAAATAAATAAATAAATAAATAAGCGAAACTTTCACACCATCCAAAACTTTAAAGTCTAGACAAATTGAACTCTCACTTACTCCCACGGCAACAGCTCAGCAACAAAGCTGCCCACTGAGAATTCATGCCCATGACATGACCACAAGACATACAAATATATATATCTGTATATGTTTGTGTAAGTTAATGAATGCGTAAGGCGAAATAAACAAATTTGATGTAATGAGCGTTGGTCAGTATGTTTATGTCTGACAATTGCAGCTAGACACTAATTCGGTTTGCATACCCTGTAACGATTGAGGGCAAGCAAAAGGTAGGTAGTTATGCTAAAGGTGTGTGGCGGAAAAATGATCGGAACGTTTGTTTAATCATATGAAATATTTATTACAGATAGCTTTAAGCAACTCTCGAATTGCCTTCAGACAAAATATTAATATCAAAAAATTATTGTCTAAAAATCACACGACTCAAGACAATTCAGAGCTGACCACAGGGTAGTTGTACGTCGTGCATACTCACTACACGCTCATTTACTGTTTATCATTTGCTTAGTTTTCACTTTCACAAGCAGACAGGCGAAAATCAGTGGCCCACTTGGCATTAGACTTGTATTCTGATTGCTGGGGCCTGCTTTCATTTTCATTGGACAAAACAACAAAGACTGAGACACCAAATGTGGCAACTGCCATTGCAACTGCAACAGACGCGTGGCCCGAGCCAGTTGCTTAACCCAGTTTTGATATCATTTGTGGCTCGTGGGCTACGCAACTTTGTGGCAAAAAGTTGTTGCCAATATAACGCAGTTTTTTCTGCTTACGAACTTATGAATCGCACCTGTCCGTGGGCAGCCAGCGGCAACAGCAGAATTATGAAAGGAATGCAAACCTCAGTTCAGCTCAACTGGTTCAAAATTTTCAGCACAATCAACAAAGCTTGTTTACATACAAGATATTTTTAAACTTCAATTTACTCTCAATAGTAAAGATCTTCCATACACACATAGGGCATCTCTCTATCTTCACATATAAGCTTTGCTTACATACAAATATAAAGCCAATCACCAATACACCCACAGTTACTACTGCTAGCTTACAAATACTTAAATGAGCCCCAGTTTTATTAGTGATGCGAAATATTTAAAGCGTTTCAGGCGCAGCTAAAACAATTTCAAATAGTGCAGCCCAGAGCTGGTGGCAGTTAATATAATTTCGCTAAGCCACAAAAAGCAAAAAAAAAAAAAAATAATAATAATAATAATAATAAAAATGCAAATATTTAAAAACCTTAAAAAATTAATGTGTTGCAGTATGCAAAAAAAGTTTTTATTTGCTCATTAATTAATGGCTTTCAATTGAAATATGCATATTGAACAAATAACACAATTTGTGTATATTTCATATAAAAATCTGCCTATACCCAATATAATTAATTTGCGCCACTTTCAAAATGCCAAAGAACTCAGAACACAAAGGCAATCCATTCATTGCCCCGAATGCCGAGCGGCCGTTCGGGACCACCCAAAATCGTAGCACAATAAATCAAAAATGAAATCTTTAATTAATCTTGCATTAAACACACAAAGTGGAACATCAAAATTTAATAAATTACATCGAGCTTAAATTAAACACACAAAGCAGCGAGCTGAAAAACCTTATAAATGATTTCTGATGTGGCTAACACATAAAAAGTGCATTGCGTTTTGTTTGATGATGTCAGTGAATAGGTTTGTTTTTTCTCATTTTATTTAGTATGTGAACATAGTTAAAAATACATCAGTTAAAAGAAGTAAAAAAAACAGAACAGGAACAGCAAAGTATAAACAATAAAACATTTAGTTATAAAACATTCGTTCATATAAATATAAACCTTTAAAACTTTACAATACATTTTTACAAAATTATATCTTCAATATAATTTTTACAATAAAATTTTTTTTACCATAATATCTCAAGGTCTTACTAAACAAACGATTAGTGGCTTTTCAGTGCAAGAGCATTTCATATTCGGCATGCCTTAAGAGCGCTTTTCATTATTATTATTTCAAACTTCTTTATTTTTTGGTTCCCACCAACTGCCCAGGGTCACATGTGTGCGATTGAGAATCGAGTTAGTCGCACACTTCGTAAGAATCTCACAGACCCGGAGTCAGTCGGAGACTCAGAGTCTCTGCCTCTGCCTTCTCTACCCGTACGCTGGCTCGCGCCCTGTCTCAGTCCCCATCGTTCAATTTCAATTCAATGTGACGTTAAAAGCTTCATTTACAGTTATTTGCAAATGATTATAGTCTGTCTATATACAAGTGCATTCACGTTATGCATGCACTCATATGCAAGCACTAGTGAATACTCATTTAGTATTTATTTTTTTTATTTTATTTTCATAGAGATGTTCTCGCTCGTTATGCAATGGAGGTAGTCAATAGTACTTATCTTTAATCTCTTACGTCAGACATAACCCTTAGGATGACACGTCAATATGATTGTACATGTTGTTTTTTATATACATATATGCATACACGTTTTTTCGTAATGGGTATTACGAGAACTGCATGTGAAATGGGCTGGTTGTCAGGCAAAAATTGCATATTAACTTTGTACTAAATACATGCCATAGAGCTGTGTGAAATCTTTATTATAAGCTGACTTTAGAGCTGATGACCTCTCAATTGTGTGTTTACAAACTTTTTATGACTTTTGACATTCATTCCTACTCTTGTTTGTCATTTTAGTCAAGTCAAACTTAGCTCAGTAAAAATATTTATTTAGAATTTAATTTGTTGAAGTTTTGAATGATTTTTATTTTCAGATAAATTCTTATCAACTTTGACCAGATCTCAAGTTATTTAAGGTATGCATATAAATTTCCATAGCGCTGAAAATAATTGCATTATTCTAAAAAACTGTTCAGCTATTCAAATAATAAATCAAGAACCTGAAATGTTGTTGCTGCTACTTCGTCTGATATTTTTGTTTGCTTATTTTTTTTTTTGGCATACAGAATGCAATTTAAAGATTCTCAGAATTTTGAGCAAGCGAGAAGGCACTCCGGCAGGTAGAATAAAAACTTCCAAGCAAAACCAAAACAACAACAGCAGCAGCAATAAGAAAGTTGAGAGCACGAAAATCATCATAAATTATGTCAGAAAGTTTAACTACAATTAGAAGCCACACAAACTGAGGAGCTGTTAGGGCAGACAGGGCAGGAGAGCTGAGGGCAGAGGGTAGAGGGCCAAGAAGTGTACACCAGTCAAGATTTTAACGAGAGTTTCAACGTCGTGAAGACTAATTATTATTAGAGCCCGTGAAATGGAAGTTCACAAACTCGCTGATCGCATGATACGTGTATAATTTAATGGATAAGACGGGCGGACTGTCACATAAAATGACGACAGTTACTGCGGCACGTAAACTGTGCACCACTTAATTAAATAGCCGAACATGGATTTGGGTTAAATGGGAACGGTTAAATTAAGATTTGTGTTGAACTTACATTTCCGCAATCGCACAAAGTTCGCCGACAAAGTTCAGCAGTTGTCAAAAACTAAAAAAAGAGAAGGAAAAAAATAAATAAGTATATTAGCATAAATTGAATGCATATTATAATCTAAATCATATTGCTAAAACTGACTTAAATTGAAGCGACATTTGCCGGCGACTTATCTAAGAAAATTGCGCATTGTGCAAACAAACGGAAGCGACTGCACAGTTCTGGAGAATTACACATGGTAGTATATTTGCTATATGTATACACAATTTATAATGTTCATATATACGTACAAATTAGTCGGGGCTTTTGTTATTTTTTTTTTTTCCCCATTTTCTGTATGAAGCCGCCAATTGAGACGGAACTCAAGTTCAAGGTGAGTTGGTGGAAAAACGTAGAATCCATTCAAATTGATTTAAAACAACGTTGAGAGCTACGTAACCAACAGCCAGTTAGTTGAGTAGTTTAGGTTGTCAGACTATCAATCAGACAGCCAGTCGGTCAGTCAGTAATTTATCATACTGGCAGAAATACGTACTTTACTGGTAGTAGTCAGTAGGGAGTCAATCAGATTGTCAATCGCCTTACAGATAAAGATTCAGTCAGTCATTCACTCCCTCCGTCCGTCAATCATACAGATTCAAAGTCAATCAATCAATTAATCCTATTGATAATCTATCATTTATTGAATCAACCAAACAATTCTATGCAATCAATCAATTTGTAAGTCCTACAATCTATCAGTAAGTCAGTCAGTTCGATAGTTAGTCTCCTTCAATTATTTAGTTAGTACGTGAATCAGTCATTTTTATGATGTCAATTTCCTCATCCCTCCATCAGTCACTCACACAGTTAATCACTCTGTCAAACAGCTATCAGTCAGTCAGCCAATCATTCAGTCAGTCAACCAATGCATTGTTCAATGGACCAGAAAATCAATCCCATAAACGTATTCAGCCATTCAATCAGTCAGCCACTCAACCAGTTACTCCGGCAATCAGTTGCTCAGTTAGCCTGTTGGCCCTTCATTAATCTCTCAATTAAATGCAAATTTTAAATTATTTAAGAACACACAGCAAATTGAATTGTGTGCGCCTTGGAGCGAGACCTACCGCAGTTGTAGTCGAGATTCGAGTGAACTTTCTTTAAGCCAGTCCCCGACCCCCCCTCCACAGGCCTTAAGTCCACCGCTCAGTTGTCCCGTTACCCCTGTGCAATCTGCAATCTTGCGCGGCTGATATTAAATTTCCAACTCATTAAAATTTTGCGCACTGTGTGCGAAACGCCAGGCAGCGTCAAAGTAGCTGTAGAATGAGAAATAATTGTATGTGTGGAGTACCCTATGGAAGCCTTGTCTCTCCGTTGAGCGACTGCACAGAGTGTTTGCATTTGCGCTTTTTGCCGGGCGAGCGATGATGCCACCAGCTTGTCATTCATAAATGAAGTGCATACAAAAAAGAAACCCAAAGAACTTGAAGTGCCATATAAACGAAGTTGGAATACCCTGAGCTGGTGGTATGGGACAAATTCCAATTTAATGGTAAAGTTGTTATGTACTACATCTCGAATCATAGAAGCTCTATGCAGCTTCTTCATGTCGTTCAAGTTCAATAAAACCTTTGACTTAATTTCCTTAATGAATTACATGAAATTCTGTCATTTCGATAACAATTGTTAGCGACCGGAAGTGCCAAGCAGCCGGAAGATAAAAAAAATATACACAATTGATAATGCATATTTGAGTGTATGAAAAGCCGTCTATCAATCTAATCGTTGCACAAGCTGACGTCACTCGGCCATATCATGTAGATACTATATACACAGTATGTACTATACCATATATTATGTCCGCAATCAAATTGGAAAGTAATACATAAAATTGGAAGATTGCGTCAGTCAATCGACAACCCACACAAAGTCAGTCAAATGAAAAGAAATAACAACAATAAAAAATGCGCAAAAATCAAAAAACGAAACAAAGCAAATAAAAAATTGTGCTAAATTAAGCGGCGAGTTTCTTGCTCTCTCTCTCTCTCTCTCACTCGCATATATCTCGCTCTCTCGCTCTCAGCTTGTTGCTTGTCAGAGCGACAATTAGAGAAGTGTTTACAAAAGGTCAGCGGCAAAAGCACTCGAGACAAAAGCTCGAAAGAAAAAACCTAAAATAAAATGAAATACAACTAATAACAAAACGAAGCAATAATACCAAATTAGAAGCTTGTGGCAAAGTAAAACGTTTTGAGTACCCTATAAGACAGGTTTTGTTAGTGGAGGTATGGGATGAACGTCATTGCAGAAGTGAATACGGAAAGTAAATTTTTTTTAAGAGAAACTTTTATATTCTACTATAATATAGAATAACTACACAAAAGATTATTTATTTTTTGTATAATGTATACAGTAGTTATTTGAAACAAATCGGTATTTATAGCTCCAGTCTATTAAAGATTAAATTTTAATAAAAAAATTTTAAGAGATTAAGAAAAATTCTTCTCCAATTCTATCGATCCTAGCTACTTGGTCCACTCTAATAACCATTTTACTGAAATTTTTTTACAGGGCATCATTGAGCTGATCAGGTATAAGCAAAACACAGTTATCTTAGCTGTTTTCTTGTTATGCTTTTGGCAACTTGGACAACAGACAAGCCCTTATTTGATGGGAAACAACTGCTGGAAAAAGAGTCGAGCCCACGGACGACGAGGCGTTTAGCACCGCTCTAAATGCTGGATTAGCGCGATGTTTGGGGCGTGTCCAGACGAAGACAACGACGAACCGACGACGACGACGACGTTGAATTAGTCGTCCTGGGGGAAGCGGGCAATTAATTTTTTAATGGCTTAGACCAAATGACTGACTTCGGGGCTATTAGAAAAGTTCGCTTTTATAGCGCAAAAAAACAGCTTGAAAATTGTCAATTAGCAAAGTGCTGAGGCAGGGCGTAGCGTGCAAAGGAACGGGTGTAAGCGACTACCACATACTTTATTGAAAGCAGACTAAGATAGTTTTCATTTTACATGAAGCTATCTATTCAGTGCCAATATACTCTTAATCAGCTTCCACACAGAGCATTAGATAAAGCCAAAACCTGTTAAGAATAGCCAATTGGAGGATTTGCAACTCTCTTGACATAGCCCAATGGCAACAGTTGCTTGCTTGACCATCTAATTGAGTACAACTCACATTTTTATGATGTTTAATCTAATTTTTTACGAGCTGGATACATTTTATGGCGAGTGCGGAGCGGCGATTGCCATTTGCCTAACGAGCGGACAGCTCGAAGCTCGTTACAACATATTTTGTGCCTGGTGGTTGGGCATTTATTTATTTATTTAAAGCCTGGGCCCTCGTCCGGGCACCAGCAATTTGTTTTGATTCAATGAAATATCAAAAACGTGACCCAAGTGCATTTCCCTGAAAAAAAAAAAAAAAAAACAAATAACCCCAACCAAAACAAATGAAGACAGGCAATATTTTAGCGAGCTCCTGTTCTGTGTGTGTGGGTGGGAGGGGGGTAAAGCCTGAAAACTTAAGTATGGTAAGATTTTGGAGTCTCTGGGCAAGCGCCATTTAAATGTATGCAAATTGCATTTAGCCAAATTGAGCGTTAACGTTAACTCAAGCACGTGCGAATGATTGACTCAAGGCTGGCTGAATCAGCCAGCGCATCTGATAGATACATAGATAGCAAGTTATCTGCAAAGCACAACTGATTGATGGGCATTCAGTGATAACAAATCGTGATTAGAAGCAGCTGCTGCAGCCACTGACTCAACTGATAATCATCCATATGCGGAAGTGCTCTCATTCACCTCTCCAGGCTCCAAGTGAGAGGGGGGAGAGACAGGGGGAGGATGCTGAAGTGGCCGCCAGCTACTTTACTTCCATTTTAATCGTGTTCAAGTGCCCAGTTAATCCTGGCACTTCCGTTGGCAGGACAAATGCTGCATTAGGCCGTGCGCCTGAATACTTTATGATATGCATTTCACTTCGGTGTGAATGTCCTACAAGTGTAGCCTGCAACGAGGGCCACTCAAAGAGTTGCAGAGAGTTACTTGCAGCTTTTTCAAGTGAGTTACTCCACACATTATATTAATTGCTGTTAAAAGTATTTCAAAATGCGTAAATTATCTAATATCTTCTAATATAATTATTATATTATTTTAATCGAAACAGAATATAGAATGAAAACTCATCAAAGTTTCTCGACTTGCCGCTTAGTTTCGTTCGATTAACTAGCTAATTTGGCTAATTAAGTTATTCTAATGCCATTATCTAACACACCGTGGAACTCAGTTATAATTTATGCACAATATGACCCACATAACTGCCATTAACTGTTCGTTCACAATTATATAAAAGATTATGGCATTTGTGTTGAATGTTTGATTCGACGCAACGGCAATTCTTCATAACTCCAACAGCCTCCCACATGGTAGTTAACGTGGTCGTTTGACTTGGCCCATTACATGCACTTCGGAATGGCTTTGCCAACACCATATATACTCCATAGACTACCCAAACTGTCTCGATTTTTATGCGCTAGCCATAAAACACAGTCTCAACTCTTTTTTTACCCGCAATGTTAAAAGAGAGTAAAAAAATTATCTTCACCGCAATTGGCAGATGCTCGGCAGTTGTGGGTTTTTCGTTGGGATTTTGGTTTTGGAGTCTGGGCCTGAGCCCGGGCCACTTGGTCGCGACCACAGAAGTGACTTAACTGGCTGTAAGCCGGCTCATATGCGCGACTTGAATGTATCACAGTTCCGGCGTCCGCCTGCGCCTTCGCCCTCGCCTCGACTGCAATTCTATTTCATTTCAAACTCCACTACACATGCCATGTCTGGATGACACTTGACTGAATATTTATGTCCACAAATGGAGCGAAAATAAAATCGCCAAGTCACGGGCGGACGCGTATGCGAATGTGACCAAATAACAGCAACGGCAACAGCAACAACAACAACAACTGCGAGCGGATCTACATGGCGATGGCCATGTCGATGGATGCCTTTGTCTGGACTTGTGGCCACATGGAAGACATGCCCTTTTTGGGC